CAGATGCGTGTGTATACTCTCGACGGCAAGGGGAAACCCTCTCGGCGTTGAGAGTGTACATACACTCAACGGCCGAGAGGAGAAACCCTCTCGGTGTCGAGAGTGTACATACCCTCAACGGCCGAGAGGGTTTCCCCTCTTGGCCGTTGAGAATGCGGTCTTGTGGTCGCGGCCGGGAGGCATCCTCCCGGCCGCTGCCGTGGGGTGGGGGTTGATTTGGTTTATTGCCCCCAAACCCTGGTCGGTTTGGGAGCATCGACTCTCAAACCAACCAAGGATTTTTATTTTTTTTTATTAAATTCTTAGGGAGTCGACTCCCAAACCGGTCGACGGTTTTGGGGAATCGACTCCCTAATTTTGGGGGTTTCGGGGTTTGGGAGTCGACTCTCCAATTTTGGGGAGTCGATTAACCAAGCCCCTAAACATTTGTGAGGAAGAATTTTTATTTAATCAGTATCCACAAGCATTGGAGCCAAAGCTTAAGTTTTAGTCGAAATTGGACAAGTTGTTGAACAGATTCAGGAAGATTTAACCCCACACCCCCTCCAATGGAAATGGTCTAATAAGCCTATATAAAGTCTACCCAATAATCTTAAGCCATGCTCAAGCTAAAAACCCCTCATAGGTTTCTGAGATCCAGATTCTGAGCTGACTTTGAGGCTGAAAATAAGCTCAGAATTTGATAAATCAGAAAATATTCAACCTAGGTCCAGGAGACAATACATATTCTCATTGCAAACCCAGCTATCAAGTCATGCATACTCATAGGCTATTTATCCTCACAAGCATTTTCACAATTGGTTCCTTATGTTGAATCCAAGCTGATTGAAGCATGATCCTCCTTTTGTCCCGCATGACTCTCTGAGACATACTCACATTTCTAGAATTGTCAAAAGGAAAAAAAACTGCATGTTGGTCAATCATAACAGCAAAAACAGTTCAGGTCAAGATGGCCCAGTGCTAAGGCTGTGTGTGCTGAATATAGGAAAGTGACATATGTGAGTTGTTGGTAGATTCAACAACTCACCTTGACATCCTCTTGAGCAGATTTTCCTTCCGCAGCTTCATCACTTAAGTATACAATTGAGAAGGAAGTTGAATAATCCATCGACTTGCCAAAAGGGTTGAGTTACACAGAGAAGCATAACACAAGAAGAAAGAAAAATATGAAACAGTTGCTTTCTTGCTCGAGATTGATTTCTCTCTGTAGTTGTTCAAGTGAAGTATACAAATATGAGCACTACTGATACATGCACTAGATAGACTCTTTCGGTTCAATGGTGAGAAAATGAAGCTACGTTGAAATACTGGATTGATTTGGTATTGTTCACAAGTATTTGGGCATAGGATACAAGGTAAAAGGATACATTCAAGTCATATGAGAGATGAGAAAACGGGGATACCAAAAATCAGAAGGATTTCTTGAAGCTTTGTTCGAGGTCGGCGATGAGGTCCTCGACTTTTTCGATACCAACAGACAGCCGGACGAGGGAGCCATCGATGCCAAGTTTGGAGCGATCCTCTACACTCAAGGTGGCATGGGTCATCTTGGCAGGCAAGGAAGCCAAAGACTCGATCCCGCCCAAGCTTTCGGCCAACGTGAACAGGCGACAATTTTTCAAGAACTCGTCTGCCCTCGAATAGTCCGTCTGGCCATCCAAACCGTCTCCTCCCTTGGGCTTGATCTTGAAGCTGATCATCCCCCCGTATGGGAATTGACCGTCGGCCGAGGGTCCATGACCTAACTTGTGAAGCTCTTCTTGGGTTTCCTTCGGGATCTGTCGCCATGCGATCTCAGATTTGTTGAGGCCGATGTAGGTCACTTTGGTGATCCAGCCCTGGGGAAGCGCGACATCCTGGAGCCAGTTAGCAATCGCCAGTGCATTGGTACCATGACGCAACATTCGGAGTGCAAGAGTCTTCAAGCCTCGTTGGGCGAGCCAGCAATCAAAAGCCGAAGGTACAGCTCCATGAGCATTTTGGAGGAAGCGCATCTTCTTGATGAGCTCCACATGAGGAGAGACGATCACCCCAAGTACGACGTCCGAGTGGCCATTGATATACTTTGTGGCTGAGTGGACGACGATATCCGCACCCAATCGTAAGGGCTGCTGGTAGTATGGGGACAGGAAGGTATTATCGACGACAAGTAAGAGGCCATTCTTCCGCGCAAAGTCTGAGATGCAAGCTATGTCGACCAGGCGCAAGGTCGGATTGGTGGGAGTCTCGATCCAAATGAGTTTGGTTTGACCAGGGATGATTGATTTCTGCAAGCGCTCGATGACCAGCTCGGCGGCTTGCTTGGAATCGTCGGCGAAGCCAAGATCGATCATGGTGGAGTCGATACCGAGTTGTTTGGCAACTTGATTGAGATACCGATACGTGCCGCCATAGACGTCCGACATGGCCACCAGATGTGCACCCGGACCGACGAGGGCATTGATAATCGTAGCCGTTGCCGCAGAGCCACTGGAGACGGCCAGGGCGCCGGGCAGGGGGAGCCCGGCTGGCTCGACTCGCTCGAGCTGATCGACACCCTCCAGAGAGGCGATCAAGGTCTCAAGGTCCAGCCGATTGGGATTCAACGAGCGCGAGTACTCGTACCCCGCATGCACGCCAACCGCGGATTGGGCGAAGGTAGACGAGAGTGAGATCGGCCGAATCACCGCGCCAGTGGTGGGATCAGGGTGTGCGCCGACGTGTATCAATCGTGTATGGAGGTGGTCCCCGTGAGGATTGCTGGTCAAGAGCTCTGCTCCACCGTGTCCACTCTTGTCCTGAGGCGGATTAGACATCGTGTTTTAAGCTCTGAAACAGAAGTGATGGAAACAATGAAACTTCAGAGATCTAAATCAATTTCAGCTGAGGGCACTTGTGAAGGAAGAGCTATACGCACAAGATGTTTGTGAATTCGTATGGGATGTCTTCGAGATGTGTTGAGGGTGTGTTGGGTATTCTCACCTGGGGGCAGAGAACAGCACCTTATGTATTGCCAGGGATAGGCCAAGGGTCAGCTGGTTGGTTCTGCTGGATGAACAAGGTTTGGCTGGTGCATGGTGTGATGTTGTGGTAGAATGGTGTCATATGATGTTATGATACGATCATGTGACGCCATCGAAAAGGTGCTCACAGCCTCACAGGGTGCTCAAATGAAGACTGAAGTACAATCGGGGCGGTGCTACCTGGTGCCGCAGCAGAGAAGAGCAAACTTAACTTAGCTTTTAGCTAAACCTCTCGATCATACGGTCCCTAATCTCGCGTTCCAAAGGGATGCTCTCCTGAGGAGGGGTGTGTTGCATTCACCGGCCACTCACTCCCGAGCAGAAATATTCCAACTCAGCAGTCGAATGCGAGGGGGGAGCCGGGAGGGAGGTGCCAGGCGGAAACTTTCCGACTGGAGAACCGGGTGAGAGGGGGGCTCCTCACCTAGACTATCGGCCACACTCATCTCGATTCTCGACGGACCCTCCCGACCGCGAGATCAAGAGTGGCGAGGTCATGACCTCGCCAAGCTGAGCTCCGAACCGCGTGGTCAAGAATGGAACCGCCAGGTCAAGACCTCGCAAAGCACACAATCCTCGCGATTGAAGCAAACCACCAAACCGCGAGCTCTTGACACGCCTCCCATTGAGGGCTTGCCTTGTGCAATGAAGATCGCCTATCTGCTTCCCAAGGCTGATGTGCCTGTGTTGTCTTGGCATTTGTTCATGTCCTGTTTTACCGCTCATACCTGTCAATATTGCCAGTGGCAAGGACTGCATTGCTAATTTGGGTGAAACCCACACAGTCATTTATTGAGAGACTATCTATGTATGTGAAGTCAGATGTGACCTGTATTTGAGACCTGGGCTAGAGCAGCTGGAAAACAGTCTCAAGTGCTCTGCACTAGATGTTTTGTCTTGTATAGTATACAAGATCATGGGAGCACAACTGGCAAATTTCCGTTTTTTTGCTGGTGGTGGCTATGAAGACCCGGGGAACATTTGGCACCAACCACAGGGAGGAGTTGAGACTGAGGTTAGAAACACTGGAGCGAGGGAAATTACTTGAGGAGGGAAAGATGCACTTGCATCATATCTTTCCCTTTTTTCAGTGGGATTTTGCCATTAGCAATATTGTACCTTATGAATTCTTTGATGTTGTCTAACATACAAAAAGGTTTGACAGATAGGCCTCCTAGCTAGATATAAGAAAAGATGAATAAGTTACACATGAAATCCAACATGAGAAGAAAACATAAAAAAAGGAAATATGAAAGAAGAAAAAAAAGAAAAAAAGAGAGGAAAAAAAAAGAAAAACACAACATGAAAACAGTTTAATGTATCATGAAAAAGGGTTCAGATTTTTTGATGAAGTCAACAATTAAAGTGTTGCAAGGGACACAGATGGAGGAACAGAATTCACAGAAAGGGTCTTATGACTTGGGACTGAGCACAAAATTAAGTAATGTATTGATTCATGGTGAAATCTGAGCTCCAGAAGTGCTCAGATAGATCCCTCTAATCTCAAATACCACTCAAGCAATGACATCACATTTGCTGCTTGATCCACATCACTCTGGCTCACTCCTCTCACTGCCACAATCATGAAGGTCTGAACTCATCATCATGAATTCTCTATCTACATATATTCCCCCCTTTTTTGCCACTTATTGTTTCCTTCCTCTGTGGAGCTTCTAGGTTACATCTACAACCAATCATCTTACTATTAAACATATCTTTACTTCTCATCATTGTTCCTCTTTCTGACATCACTTACTATTATATAACTTGTTCCTCAAGTCATTCTTTCTTTGTGTCACATCCTTAGCACTTGATAACTACTCATTCTTGTTCACACAATCAATTTTGATAAATATCTTGTCCTCTCAGCACATCCGTTCCATTTGACTCATTGCTGAAGTGAACATGGGCTTCCCTTCTTTTTTGACTTATTGTGGTCTCCTTGTTGCCACAGCTTATTGGACTAGATTAGTGTGTCAACACTGTAGTGTTGGCACACTGTTAGTCCCGCTGTGCTGTGTTACGCTGGGTTACACCGCTTTAGCCGCAAGAATGGCCAAAAATCTGCTAAGATGCACTGGAGTCCAGCGTAGTGAGAGGCCAAAGCACTTCTTTGATTATTTTGAAAAGAAAATGTCCAAAGCCATCATAAAAACCAAATTTCTTTTGACACATAAGAAAAGGTCCAATTGGAAACTGGGTATCTCCTGGATTCATTCATGACACAACCCAACCCAGTGCCCAATTGGGAAGTGTCATATCTTCAGGGGCCAGTGTGGTAAGCCAATCTTGAATAAGAGGCCCACAAAATCAAAGCTTCACAAACAATATCAAGCCCTCTGAATGACAAGACCATCAAGGACCAAGACAAGCCCCCTCTGAAATATTCAATCAGCCTGCAACATCATGGATGTCACAAGACCAAGCCCCCTGGACAGAAGACACACTGGATCCCTCATCGCATTTGTTTAAGGTCTTAGTTAAATGACTCCCAGAAATTGAAGTTCTGACTCCCAAATTTCTGGGACATCAAGAGGACTGTCTGCGGACAGCTCTCAGGACGTCCAGCCCCAAAATTGGGAGTCAGAACTCCAAAACCTTCAAAAGGTTTGGGAGTCATTCACCTAACAAAAATAATAATAATAAATGAAATAAAAAGAACTCATGGCCAAGAGGAATCCCTCTCAGCCACTGAGAGTTTACTGCTCTCTGCGACCAAGAGGAATCCCTCTCAGCCACTAAGAGTGTACAGCTCCCAGCAGCCGAGAGGAATCCCTCTTTGTTGAGGGCATCTTCCCGGCGCCAATGTGGAACTACTCTCAAGAAGAATAGAGCTTGAGAGGGATGGGTGCTTTAATGAGCTGCATCTCTGGTAACTAAAATGAGTAAGGTAACAAGAAAATATAAGAGTATGGACTCTTAAGGAAAGGTGTGGCTTTGGAGATTTCTTGAGGATGGTATGTCTAGTAGTCTAAATATAATTGTTCACAAATTTCAAGGTATACCAAATGTTGATGGGCATATACCTGGCTAATAATAGGAGATCAGTTATCTGAATTGCTGGGGCAGGCTCTGATGAGGAACAAATGAAGAGGAAAAACAAAGCTCTCTATATACAAAAGTCTGGGGAGTGGCCAGCTTGTGGTTGGAAGATAAATGGAACATTCTATGAGAGCATGAAACAAGAGAAAATATATTTATCCATAGAAACAGGGGAAACAAGTAGTGGGAAAATTCTCCCAAGGTTACTAGTATGAAACAACTAAGGGGTGGAATATTCCATAGAAGAAAATAGGAGGAAATAAATGTTTCATGAATCAGGGGGATTGCTACTAGTTTGGAGGACTAAGGGGTAAGAAGAATAGAATCTGTTTGGAGGGGAATGAGTTTCAAGGGTGGGGAGTTTCTGGCTGGGAAATATTATCCATTCTTCACTCGCCTTCCCGACACCTGCACGCTGTGTTTTTCCATGTATTTGACATGGCACTACACCGCGTGTTAGGTCTGGGAAAAAGAGGGGGGAGGATGAGGCTTGATCTGCCTCTGAATCTCTCCCTCTCTGGCCGGAAAAGGCTCGTAGAATGTCAGGATCATATGTATTTCTCTAAGGGGTGATACTCGAACACAAAGCCCAAAGCCCTAAACCCCTTAAAAGCATGAATGGGTGGGTGGGAGGATTTGAAAAATTCTTTCGATACGCGAATGCGAGTGAGTGGGGTGATGTCGACTAGCTGGGAGGAATGTGGAGCATCCGATGAGGGAAGAGTGGCGATACGAGCTGTGAGGTCGTAATCTTTTGTCACCTTCCTTCAAGCGGTCAGACCGTGTAAGTGTCTACGTGCCAGGGCGTGTTACAGGACTGTGGTCTGACCGTCGGCTAAGCTAGTCGGCTGGGTGCCATGGACGATGGTGACACCGTTGCACTCCTGTCACCTGTCATCCATTCTTCACTCGCCTTCCCGACACCTGCACGCTGTGTTTTTCCATGTATTTGACATGGCACTACACCGCGTGTTAGGTCTGGGAAAAAGAGGGGGGAGGATGAGGCTTGATCTGCCTCTGAATCTCTCCCTCTCTGGCCGGAAAAGGCTCGTAGAATGTCAGGATCATATGTATTTCTCTAAGGGGTGATACTCGAACACAAAGCCCACAATCTGGGACACAAATGGTAAGGGGGGCCATGATCTGTGAGAGAGAATAACCCAAACTCCCTGGCTATATGTGTTGCACTGTTAGATCCAATCCTACGGCGTCCGTAACCAGTTCCTCTTAAACTGACGTAGGAGCAACCTGGTCCTTTTTAAGTCGCTGTCGGAATATTTTCGTATGTACAGCTTGAAACAATCTGACTTCCAACGGCCCAAAGCGCAGAGGTCCGATTGGGACATCCCGAGAGCTGACCGGATAGACGCCCCGCCGACCCTGAAGGAATGTCCTTTTATACCTGGGAAACCGCCGTTTGTTAGGACTTCTTCCACCCGCGATGCAACTTGATATCTGGTTAAGTGAATCCGGTCGGGCCCGTTCTTGTATCCGAATAACGATGTCGTTTCGCCGGCGGAAGATGCAAGTCTCCGTTTCACGGCTAGAACAGGGCACAACTCGTGGTGTTGTTCACACAACGTGATAATCTGAGGTGACCCGGGTTTCGCTGTTTTGGCATTGCGAACTGTTAGCGTTACGACGGCTCCTAGGTTTACGCTTTCGGTGAAGCTGACATCCGTCGTTAGGACTGAAGTTCCGAAGTTGATCGAATTACCGTCTTTGATGTAGGTTAACTCCGCGAGCCTCGCCAAACCCCAGAACGCCACGATCGACACATCCAATACGGCCCGGTCGAGTTCGTCGCCCAGTACTAACGACTTCCACAAGTGAGCCATATGCCACAACATAACTGGCAATTTCATTTTTGCTGTTACAGATGATTCGTCTTTCTTTGCGGATGCCTTGAGTAACAGTGCCAACCTCGGATTGTTGTCGTCTGGGAAGGTAGCGCTATGATATATGTGCCAAGCCTTGATGCCTGCCAGGTATTTTCTTAAAGAGGTTGCGGAAATTTTTCCATCGTTTGATGATACGTCGTTTCTGCCTGCCCAGATACAAATTCTTCTAGCAACGACGCGGTGACGGGTAGGACTAAAGAAACGATTCCCTCGCTAGTTAGGAAGCGGTTAAATTTGGCTACGGCGCTATTGTAACTCATTAACGTCGACGGCCTCCATCCGTTTAGAACATGGATGTCTGCTTTTGAGGGAAGTCTCTCTTCCAGACCGTTCTTAAGAAAGTATTTCAATTTATCGAACGGCACGCTTGCTGTGTTTAAAGAGATCATATTCTGATCTACACTAAGATGAATAACTGGGGTGTTATGGAAACAAAGATGAAAGATGACAAGGAGAAATGATTCGAGTGTGACAGAAACGGGAATGTGTTGATTGACCACCATCACGGTTCCTATGTAAGGAGTTCGGGATTTTATCAAGCGTGAAACATGAAGGGTTGTAAATCATCCGGTATGTTGATCCAGACCCTGTTTTCTGCTACATGGGGTCGTTGGATCCCTCTCGATAACCCATCCGCAATATTATCTTCTGATATTACCCTTGTCGGGGTAAGATCTAGATCTAATTCAATCAACAGACTCTGTATCTTTTTCCACTCTTGGTTCGAATGATGGTCTTTGGACTTTTGAGACAATAGGCAATTCTCAGTTGTAGTGTTGTCTGTGTATACGATGAAGTTGTTACCCTTGAAATCAGTTCTTGTAACCAGGAGCATTAAGATACCAATCCTTATGGCGACGGTTTCTAACCACGCGATTGTCCTCTTTGGTTCTGCCTCTCTCCAGCATTCCTTCAATCGTAGTTGACACCAGCGTGGGCCGATTAAGACTCCGATTCCGAAGCTGGTAGATGCGTCACCTACCCAATTGATTTCCACAGGAGTAGTGATTGGGCACAAACGTGTCTCCGACTCCGAGTACGAGTTAAGTGTGTTGAGCCAGAAAGTGAGATCTTCTCTAACATCGTCCGGGATCTTTCTAGTTGCCCAACGCTTCTTCCATTCATTCATCCATCTATAAACGCTTCTCGAGTAACTCCTCAATTGTGGTAATAATAGCGAGACATGATTCAGTCGTCCGGCTAATACTTCTGCTTCGTTGTATCTAAATTCGGCTCCGCTTTCTAGAAATAGCTGTATCTGGTTCTTCCGCTCTTCTAGTTTCTTCGTCGGTAGGCGGACCGATTTTTCTTTTCCATTCCAAATGAACCCGATAAACTTTTGTTCTTCTTTAAAATCAGAACATTTTTCTAAACTCGTTGCTACGCCGAGGTTTACTGATCGGTTGGTTATTTCTTTCATGTGCACGGTTGATTCTATCTTCTTGACGAACAAATTGTCGTCTACCCATCGAAAGATCTTTACGACGTCGAATTCTGCCTCCATAACACGTTTCCATGCGTCTGCTGGGATCCCAAATGAACCACAACCCGCTACACCCCCGAAAGTGATCCTTGTATCTAAGAATAACCTCCCTTCCAAATCTTTCACCATCAAGAAAGGCCATTGTGAAGGTTGCGTCGGAATTTGTCTGTAAGCTTTCGCCCAATCGAAAAGCGCTAATTCACAAGGGTACTGCAATGCCCTGAAAAAGGATGAGACCAACTTGAAGTCGTCCCACGTGGTTTGAAAATCATGCTTGTTAACAAATGAGTTTACTGATTTGATTTTCTCATCTTTCCTTGGGTAAGAAAGGTCGTTAATTGGCCGTATTTTCCCATCTGCATTCACCACTGAACCTAACGGATTTGTCCTGAAAAAGGAGAAACGTTCCGATACTTCCTCATGTGTAAACGGGCCAAACATCCTTTTTCCTGCCACTTCTTCTTCAATCGATTTTTGAATCTTTTCCTTTGCCATGATGGCTGATGAGTAATTTTCTGGCGTGAACCATTTCATGTTACCCAATTTGTGAATTGGTATACCTTGGTCGAAACCCGACTTGAAACCTTCTAACACATTATTCAATTCCGGGAGTAAATTTCCCTTTGATAAAGCTGCTTCCCATTCGGGAATATTCATTTCACATGACACTTCTTGTGGCCACAGTTCGCTACAATGTTTGCGCCCTGGTTGTTCCCCTCCGCCTCCTTTCTTCTGACCACCACTAGGACCCTGGTCCCCTTGGTTTTGACTGGGTCTAAACCTCTTCCTCCCGTCATTCATCCCTTGGTCTTGTACATATCCGCCACCGTGATTAAAATGATTTTGAAATTGATTGTTCGCCGTCCCGTAGTCGCCTTGATAATTGGAGTGATTATTAGTGTACCCGTAATGACCGTTTTCGTTACCATAGCCTTGATGACCTCCGTAATTGAACCTGCCCCAATTATCTGGTCCGGCGTTTCGGCCAAAACGACGAGCTTCTTTGCGGCGACCTTGGTGATTCTCCGAATTGAAACTTCCATGACCGTTTTGACCACCTTGGCCTTTTGTATTCGGGAACGACGCTGCTTTGATTAGGTCCGGTCTTTTTGTACCTGTGTCTGGGTCGTACGAAGCGTGTGATTGACCTGGTGCATAATAATTATCTTTCCAATTTGCTTCGCCGAAAGATCTGACTGTACTATAGCATTGTTCGATGACGATTAATTGTTTAACCGAAATGTCTGGTATGGCTGCCCCATCTTTCGAAGGAACCTGGTGTGCGAAAGCGTTAAGTCGGATTTGCATATCATACCTGAAAGCCGTCATGAAACCGTAAACATCTGCTATGTTGTCACAGTTTTCTTTGTGTCTCAACAGTTTGTCTGCGAAGAGTTTCTTGTTGTAGACATCCCTTAAGGTGATATAGAATGAGCGGTGATTGTTCGTCCATGCCGAATGAGATTGCGTCCATTCATCGTTGAAAGCTAATCCTCTGTACGCTTTGTCTTCACTAGACTTCGCAGGTTTCAGGAGTAGGTGCGCGCTCAAGGCTTTCTTCTGCCATTCTAAAAAAGGGCCGGGTGAGAATGACTGTAAATATATATATATATCTGGTGTTTTCACGTTAAGAATACTTTGCATACCTCTATCAAAAATCGTTAAGGGTAACGGTGCCTTCAACTTTCTAATGTTCTCATCAAAATATGGAGTAAATCCTATATCTTGATGGTTCGTTACTGCCCCTACCGCGTACACCAGATTGTCCTCGAGCTCGGTTTCCGCCAATCTAGAGTCGATTATGGCAGTTGGCAATTCTTTCGGCATTTCGGTGTCTACTAGAGATCGTTCGTTCGGACCTGTTGGGGGGTACCTGCCACACTTCAGATCAAGCCCTCCACATCAACAGTCACCATAAATACAAGTGGGGGGCCCAGTACTAAACCTTCATCATTACTGAACCCTCTGGAAGCATCAGTGGTGTCTCAGGGTGTGGAGGGAGTGTTTTGAAGTGTGGCAGGTACCCCCCAACAGGTCCAAACGAACGATCTCTAGTGTCTACGGTTGATAGTACCGCTGAAGCGGATTCTGATCTATTCAATGCCGGGACGGTAGACAGCTTACGTTCTTTGGCGTTGTACGTTTCTAAAAGGATTTTGGCTAGGAAAGTATCCCCTGATTTCTGTGCCGCTTTTAATCTTTCCCAGATCATCGCTCTATCGTCAACAGCTTCTTGGTTGGGAGGAACGGAGGTTTGGTTGACTACGTCCTCTAAAATTGTAATTGGCAGTTCTGGGTTTTTTATTATGAGATCTAACGATTCATCTTCTCCCGGATCACTCTCTGGTGCTCCTTCGTGATGATTGACAGTTTCGCTTCTACCTGGTGTGCGATCTTGGGTGATTTGAATTGACGACGTCGTCGTGGCTGACGTTTCAGGTTCCTTCCTGGTTACTGTCGTCGCCGCCGTCTCCGGTTCTTTCCTGGCGACTGCCTTAGAGCGCGTTACTTTTGCCCCGGTATCCATGTCTGAATTAGACGATTATAAGTTTCCGCTGCAATCTGGTGTAGAGTATAATCAAAAAGCGAACTCTAAAAAGCGTACTTTGTTCCGAACGTTTCCTTATGGGATTTTAGAACTGTGTCGCGTGGCGTCCGGCAGGTTTAGTTCTCTTTCAACCTGGAAGAGTTATGAATTGGATAACAACGTAGGGATAAAGCAGAATATAAGTCATGGGTGTCTCCTGATGCTCGAGATACGCTCACAGCGATTGTAGAAAGAGTCAAGTAATGGCAATGGAGTGGCGACGTGTGTCCGGCGACTTACTTAAAGGCCAAGGATCAGGGTCAAGGTTAACCTGGAATGCGCCAAAGGTCAGGATCAAGGTTAACCTGGTTTAAGTATATTATTTATTTCACAGGTCAAGGTTATCCTGGATAGATTCTACAGGCTTCGGTTAGCCTGGATTCGATAGAAAAAATTAAAAATGTATTTGAAAAATTCTTTCGATACGCGAATGCGAGTGAGTGGGGTGATGTCGACTAGCTGGGAGGAATGTGGAGCATCCGATGAGGGAAGAGTGGCGATACGAGCTGTGAGGTCGTAATCTTTTGTCACCTTCCTTCAAGCGGTCAGACCGTGTAAGTGTCTACGTGCCAGGGCGTGTTACAGGACTGTGGTCTGACCGTCGGCTAAGCTAGTCGGCTGGGTGCCATGGACGATGGTGACACCGTTGCACTCCTGTCACCTGTCATTATCCATGTGGCCTGTGCTTGAGGGATTCATGAGTGGTGTTTGGATTTGTTTGAGGGTCTGAGGAGCTTTCTGGGGTGTCTTGATCCTGTGATTCCTCTGTGAATTTTGCTCTTGCTGTGCTTGTATTTTAAGGATTGGCTTACCACACCGACTCCCAACCCCCCTGGCCGGGATTTGTGGCGGATTGACTCCCAAAAACCCCAAGGGGGTTTAATTTTTCATTTTGTTTATAAGGGGAACGACTCCCAAACCCTTTGAATTTTTTGGAGGTCCAACTCCCATGGACTTCCTGAGGAGCCTCCACAGACAGTCCTCTCAACGTCCCAGAAATTTGAGAGTTGAAAATCCAATTTCTGGGAGTCGTTTAACTAAGACCCTTTGTTTATTACATAATTACCTCATGCAGTCTTACATCATCAATCCCCTTTCAGCAACAGTGGGCCAGCTACGCTGGAAATAGCTGTAGCGCAGCGTAGTGTTAGCTTATTTCAGCTACGCTACTCAAAATTTGCTGTTAGCGCCAAATTTGGCCAGCTAACGCTAAAGATTTTTTTTTTTTAAAAAAAAAAAAAATAGCGTAGTGTTAGCTGATCTGAGGAAAAGGGAGTTAACGCTGAATGAATTTGATGTCCGCTGAAATTCAGCGGTGTTAGCGAGTGAAATAACTACGCTACCATGTAGTGTAGCGGTTATGTCAGTTACGCTGAAGGTTAGCGTAACTGTCAGGGAAGCTACACTGACCGCCCATGTAGTTCAAAATATTTCTAAAGTAAACATGACTTGACCCAATTACTTGAAAAAAATCAACAAAAAAAACAAGTAATTGGGGGCCAAGGAAGTAACTATCAACATAGAAATAATTAAAAGAAAATATTCTAGAAAAGAAATTGTGCAGAACTTTGAGGAAATTGAAAAAAATAAAAGCAAACTTTTTTTATATTATTTTTTTTTTCTTGAAAGAAACTATTTTTTTTTATTTTTTAGTCTATTTTTTAGTTTTTTTTTCCATAGATTTTATATGTTTTTGAAGATTTTAAGAAAGAATTGACCATTTTTGAAGCTGAAAAAAAGAAAGAAATTATTTTTTTTAACAAAATCATTAAAAGCAAAAACAATACTTTGTGCTTTTGCAAATTCTCCTGAAACTCTAACACCCTCTTTCAGCCACATGTGACTGCTGACACATCTTTCAATAGTACGTGGTTTCAAGCTACCTCGACCACTGGAGCAGACATCAGCCGCTGAAGAAAAGATATGTTCCGCTGCACAGGAAGATCCCGAGGAGGCTAAGTAGTCTTTTGCCAATGAGGCAAGAACAGGGTAAGTTGATGCGTGATCCTGAAAGTGATCAAATCAAGTATCAGTGTAAAGTAAAAATTGAATTGTTGTTGATTGAATAAAAAAAATGTGCACCTTCCACCAAATCAATAGACCATCTTGATCCGTTGTGCTTGGTCCCGTTAGTCAATCCATGTTTTTGACATAAACTTCAAGCTCTTTGCTTATTTCAATTTTTGCAGAATTGAATAATTCAAAGATATTATCTTCATCAACGGTTTCCGACTTTTTCTGGCTGATTTCGTTATTGTCTTCTTTTTTCTTTTGTAATAATTTGTCTCTCTTCTTAAAATGGCGCTCCAATAATTTCTTAGCCATGTCAGCAGATTCAGGCCAGCAATGCGTAAAAAGATTCAACCGGAATGATGGGTGAAGAATTGTTGCCATGACAAGTGTTTCGCATTTGAGTGCTTCGTCCTGGTAGGTCTGGAGCTTTTCGATCATTTTGACATACATTGGATGCAATGCATGTCCTCGGTCACATCCTTCTTCTTTCTTCTTCAGATCCTTGATCATCTGGTAGTAGTTTGGGAGTACAAAGGCACCTGTAGGACCATCACCCTCCATTGTTTTTGTGAGACGGTCAAAAGGCTGATCAAGAGATAAATTATTAAGTATCTTAGAAAAACTGTTGGAATTGAGTAATTTGCCCCTCACTTTTAACTCCTGATTCAACTCATCAATCATCCTCCATTCTTTTGCCGTGAACTGAATTTCCTTAAAGTGCCCCAACTTCTTGCGGTTTTCTTTGCGGCTCAATCGGGAAATTTGATCTTGGTATTTAATGTACTCATCCTGGAGCATTGCATCAATAACCTAGAATCAAAGATTTCAGTATCAATTCTAATTTTGGTGTTGGAATTAGTTTAACTGCTTACTTCTCTCGCATTGTAGGCACGCATTCGGCTTTGATACTTGATGTTCCAGCAAATTCCATAGCCAGCAATTAAACCTTTCAAATCTTTTCCCTCGGCACGTTGGTCAAATTCCTGTCTCCAAGCAGACGAGCTGGTGATCTTTTTTATCACAAAGTCCAACTAAAGTAGTTTTGTCAGAAAAAAAAAACAAAATACAATAATAAAAGGAGAAAAAACTTAAAGCCTTGGTCAGTTCATTCAACTCATTAGACTGATTCCTGTTCGCAGCAGATTTGTTTTTATTTTTCCCACCGGCTTTCTCATTTTTTTCTGGCACTCCTTTCGCCACAGCTTCTGATTCCTCGTCCTCCTCAACCATATCGATCTCATCGTCACCAGAGTCCTCAGTATCGCTATTGTCATTGCAGTCGCTCTTGTACACCATTTGATCAGCAGTGTTTTCTTCTTCCTCAGCTTCGGTAATTGGTGCCATTGCAGTAGAGTAGGGGAAAGGGGCGTTGATAAACGCACGCCTCCCCCCTCCCCGCACGCCCACGCCCACGCCCCTCCAAAAGGGGCGTGCAATCGAACCCGCCCCTCAGGGAGGGCGGGTTTGCTTGCACGCCCCTCGGAATCCTGTTTTTCGAGGGAAAACCGGATTCCGAGGGGCGGGCAGACAAACCCGCCCTTCCTAACAAGGTGAAGGGAGAATAAGACTGCACCCCTCCCGGCCGGGAGGGG